TATACAATAAATCAAAAAATTAGCCGGGCATGGTAGCGCGTGCCTGTAGTTCCAGCTACTTGAAAGGCTGAGGCGGAAGGATCGCTGGAGCCCAGCAGGTTGAGGCTGCAGTGGCCAGGAGTGGCCACTGCACTCCAGTCTGGGCGACAGAGTGAGACTCCAACTCAAAAAAAAAAAAAAAAAAAAAGGTGGTCGGCTTCTGCGTCCCAGGTTATAGATCATCTGTCAGCCATTTGCAGTACCTAAAATCTAATAAATAGGGGACTGTCGCTCAAAATCCTTTCTGTCGAGAAACATGCACACACTGTAACACAGTAGTTCTTCACCTGTTTTGGTTCACAGACCCCTGAGAAATTTAGTAAATGCACACTGTTTCTCAGAAAAAATAATACACACAGAAACACTTAAAAATTTTTTGATCCTAAAGTTAATACATGCTCATAATAATGTACCAGAAAGTCAACTGGGGCAACAAATTATAATAGCTAATATCTGTGAATGGAATTCCCACACTTTTAGGGTGAGCTTCACAGTGATGTGAAGTTTCTCTTCATGAAGTTCCACTGTGTGAGGGGCAGAGAATTTTCCATTCTCAGAAAGCTGACAGTGCTGAGAGGCTCTGCCACACCTTATACTAAATATAGACATGGATATTGTGAATCTCTTTCTTAGCGATAACATTTCTCAGAGACCAAAAGACTCAGTTTGTCAACCCAGACTCTTCCTCTTTGTGAAAGGGAAAGGGAGAAGCAGAGCAATTAACTAACAAAGTTTTATGGTGTTTCTTTTTTTCAGCCAACTGTAAAACTCTTCATTGATGGGAAGTTTGTTGAATCCAAAAGTGACAAATGGATTGATATCCATAACCCAGTAAGTAGAGCTGCTTTTGGACTTAAACTTGTGAGCCTAGAATTGTAGCCACATGGTGGGCAAGTAGTGACCTGAGTGTCTATGGTAGAGCACATGGTGCTTCCTCTGTGACTCGATGTAAGATGGAGAACGCAAGGCAGAGGCAAAGTGTGATGTGCCTTTTCTATCTCATCAGGCCACCAATGAGGTAATTGGACGGGTCCCTCAGGCCACCAAGGCTGAAATGGATGCAGCTGTTGCTTCCTGCAAACGTGCTTTTCCTGCATGGGCAGACACTTCAGTATTAAGCCGTCAGCAGGTTCTGCTCCGCTATCAACAACTTATTAAAGAAAACTTGGTAAGAAATCTGAATGGTATAATTTTCAAACTGTTGCCAAAGAGATGCTGGTCACTCCCATAGAGATCTTGTCAGTGGTCCTTCCTAACTCTACAATACGGAAAGACATCAATCAATCTCTCCTTTGTATTGCTTTGTACTGCTTCTCTCCAGTTTTGTTTTTCCTTGTCCACCTGAGAATTAAAAGGAGCAGCAGCCTTTCATTAATTTCTATTTGTGTGTTTTCTCTCTAGAAAGAAATTGCCAAGTTAATCACATTGGAACAAGGGAAGACCCTAGCTGATGCTGAAGGAGATGTATTTCGAGGCCTTCGTAAGCTGGGAACTCCTCATGGGCCTTACGGGGAAAAGCAGAGGCAGTTAGGAGACAGAGATTCCAGAAGGGGAGGTTACTCTTCCCTTTCGATTTTGCCATCCCACATCTTGTAATACTTGGGGAAAATGGCAGTACTTCTCAGGTTTCTATAGCATTTATTTCTTTTATGCTGTGTTTCACTCACATGATCTTCTAGTAGATATATGCATATTACTATATTTTTCCCATTTGTAGAATCTCATTTTGCACAACACTTTCACTTGGAAGTGTAAGGTGGTGTTCCCCACTGGCACTGGGCTGAGCTCTTCCCTGTCCTCAGGACTGAATGGAGCATAACAAAGCTAAGTAGTTCCCAGTGTGGAGAGCTGGTTCCTGATCTGCTCTCTGTTCCAGAGGTGGTTGAGCATGCCTGTAGTGTGACATCCCTCATGCTGGGAGAGACCATGCCATCCATCACCAAAGACATGGACCTTTATTCCTATCGTTTGCCTCTGGGAGTGTGTGCAGGCATTGCACCGTTCAACTTTCCTGCCATGATCCCTCTTTGGATGTTTCCTATGGCCATGGTGTGTGGAAATACCTTCCTGATGAAACCATCTGAGCGAGTCCCGGGAGCGACTATGCTTCTTGCCAAGTTGCTCCAGGATTCTGGTGCCCCTGATGGAACACTGAACATCATCCATGGACAACATGAAGGTAGTTGCTCTTCTGCATATGTTTTGGTACTTAATCTAGCTACCAAAACAATCAAGGTGGTGAGAGGTGACTGGGTGTTTTAGGATAAGGAACCAAAGGAGGAAAGGATTTACCAATCATAACCACAGTGGTTGAAGGTAATGTTCGTTGACTGTTTTGCCAGCTTTACCTTGTGTAAAGGTAACTAACTGGGATGTAGCAGTGCTTTTTGCCTTACTGTATACATTGGGACACTGGAAATATGGCTCAGGGCTAGACATGGATAAGATTAAAGAGAAAAATTTTGCTCCAGTGTTAAGAGAATATATGAGGCCGGGCTCAGTGGCTCAGCCTGTAATCCCGCGCCTTTGGGAGGCTGAGGTGAATGGATTGCCTGATCCCGTGGGTTTGAGACCTGCCTGGGCAGCGAGACCTCATCTCTACAACAAATCAAAAAATCAGCCGGGCGCGGTAGCGCACGCCTGTAATTCCGGCTACTCGGAAGGCTGAGGCGGAAGGATCGCCGGAGCCCAGCAGGTCGAGGCTGCGGTGGCCGGGAGCAGCCACTGCACTCCAGTCTGGGCGACAGAGTGAGACTCCAACTCAAAAAAAAAAAAGAGAATTTATGAGGATATTTAACTCAGAGAATTTGTTGAACCTTAGAGATACTGAAAGGCTTCTAATTCATACAATAATAGCTAATACTTAAATAGTGCTTTTGTGTTTCAGGTTACTAGTGCTTTTTATATATTATTTAATCTTTACATTCACCCTTTGAGATAGGTATTATTATTTTTCAGATGAGAACATTGAGGCATGGTGAGATTATGTAATTTGCCCAAAGTCACACTGTGAGAAACGATCAAAGCCAGATGTAGGCAGCTCAAGCCTGCAATCTCAGCACTTTGGGAGGCTGGGGTAGGAGGACTGGTTGAGTCCAGGAGTTCAAGACTGGCCTAGACAACATAGCAAGACCTTGTGTCTTAAAAAAAAAAAGCTGGATGTGGTGACACATACCTGTCATCCCAGCTACTCGGGAGGCTTGCCTGGTCCCAGAAGGTCAAGGCTGTTGAGCCCTGACTGTACCACTGTACTCCAGCCTGGGTGACAAAATGAGACCCCAACTCAAAAAAAAAAAAAACCCCAGAAAGCTAACTCTGATTTTTACTTTTAAGTACTATGCTATATTACCTCTCACATGCGGGCACAATAGAATGTGAGAGTCCCAGTGCATAGTGACAGTTGAGGAAATATATTGTTAAGGAACAAAAAGGATGAGCTCAGTATTGAAAGGTTGTTACTTTTGGAGGAAAATAGGGGTTATAGCCTTCAGAATTAGAAGTGGGAATTCTGGACTAGCAGATGAGAAAAATAATGAAAGGGAAGAGGCTGAATTTGTAACTTAAAGTATTTAAAAGAAACAGGGAGAGAACTTCACAATGAGAAAAACAGATGAAACCTTTTTGACTCCTTAGCAGTGGGGAAAGGGGAAATCTGCCATGTTGGGAAGCCATGTATTCCTTTGTGGTGATCATTTGTTTTCTTCTTAAAGCTGTAAATTTTATTTGTGACCATCTGGACATCAAAGCAATCAGCTTTGTGGGATCTAACCAGGCAGGAGAGTACATCTTCGAGAGAGGGTCAAGACATGGCAAGAGGGTTCAAGCCAACATGGTGACGTCTCCTTTTTTCTCATCTTTGTTATATCTATTAAAGTTACTTAGGAACAGACCTTCCACAGAGGGGCCACTTGCTCCACACCAGTGTCAGTGTTTCTTAATTACCGTTTCATCCCGAATGTCTTTTGTTTAGTCATGAATTTTTGAGGAGTTTCATTCTGTCACATTAGTCACCTTTTAACATATACAACAAATCTTGGTGACAGAAAGCACATTCCTCCCTAACAATGTTATTCAGATTCTTTGGAGGTTCAGCAGTAACCGCCAGATTCTGATTCTGCTGCTGTTTGCTCCTTTTCCCAACACTTGTAGCCCTTTATACTTCCTTCTTTTAAGGCAGGTCCTAATTACTGATGTCAGAAGCATGATTTCCCCTAAGGGTCCAAGGCTACTTAAAAGCCTAACAAACAACCCTGTGTGATATGAATCTGGTTTACTTGTATAGGTTTTCTTTCCTTTTACTAGTTCTTGCCAAATGCTAGCAACTCTTTTGGAGTAAATATAAAATCCTGTTGCAGCTTTCTCACCCTTCTTCCTTCATCTAATGTTGCAGAAAAAAAATAGCCATCTATGCACAGGCTTGGAAACTGTTCATGGCATGCCACTTATTTTTCATGGCTGAGTGTGTTTTGGTCAATTTGACTTAAGCCCCTCCCAGTTCACTGCATATTGGTTGAGTGTATTCTGTTCAATGTTATGTGCAATGGGATAAAATTAAGTAGCAGGCATGGTATCTAACTATGCACTCAACTGTATTGTTTCTGGAAATGTGGATATGGAAACCATGTGTCATCTTACATAGGGAATTAGTGTATGAAGCTTTGTATCTAGAAGCAAATCAGTTTAAGGGACCTCTTTTTTGAAATTATGTATCAGGGGTCTACCTCCTATTTTACTGGCATTATTACTTGGCAGCTCTTTGTTTATATTGCTTTTCATGTAACTGGAAAACCCAGCAGACAACACATTTCTTCCTAACAGGAAAAAGAAGGGCATTCTTGTTTGCTGGATGCAGTGTTTAACCTGTCTGAATGCGACTAGGGCTTTTTGTTTTTGGTAATGGTTTTGATCTAAATAAATATATATCAGCTTATCAGCTGGAAAGTGAGGGAAAAGTAACCTGGAGACTTGCTCAATGTTGCCTTCAGCAGTATTAAAAATAACTTCTTTGACCTCAAAGCAACAAAAGATGTAATTCTTTAGTCCTTTCCTTAAATTCTCATTTGCTTAATTTTTTAGGTTAATTGTATTTAGCTAAGGAAGTCTTACATACTTTCTGTATTCGTTAGGGAGCGAAGAACCATGGGGTAGTCATGCCAGATGCCAATAAGGAAAATACCCTCAACCAACTGGTTGGGGCAGCCTTTGGAGCTGCTGGTCAGCGCTGCATGGCTCTTTCAACAGCAATTCTTGTGGGAGAAGCCAAGAAGTGGCTGCCAGAGCTGGTGGAGCGCGCCAAAAACCTGAGAGTCAATGCAGGTAATCAGCCACCTGCCTAGCTCCTTGAGATTTTGCATCTGTAGCACTAAGCTCTTGGGTTTAGCATTGGTGTTGGCCACTGAGAGCAATCATGCCTATATTTACCATTGCCTCTCCTTATGTTGTTCTTGTCATTTGGATTAATAATCTATATTCATGAAGACCTTAACGTCTGCAGTGTTTTACAGGTGACCAGCCTGGAGCTGATCTTGGCCCTCTGATCACGCCCCAGGCCAAAGAGCGAGTCTGCAATCTGATTGATAGTGGAGCAAAGGAGGGAGCATCCATCCTTCTTGATGGACGAAAAATTAAAGTAAAAGGGTACGAAAATGGCAATTTTGTTGGACCCACCATCATCTCGGATGTCAAGGTGAACAACTCTTGATTATTTCACAAGTATAAGAGCTGAAGGCACCTGAGAGGCTCTTGAATCTCATTCCTCTAAATTATAAATGAAGACATTAGTGACTGAGACCTCATCTCTTGCCAGGATTACTCAGCTATTTTGTCTGGAGTCTGAATGAATTTCCCCTCCTAACTCCCAGCCAGAGCTCTTTCCATTCCACCAGCGATGGCAAACTTTGCAAAAAGGGTTAGATCTTTTCAGCATTACAAAGATATATGGTCTCTGTTGCAACTACTCAACTCTGACATTGTGTGTGAATTTAATCATTGTGTGGCTGTGTTCCGATAAAACTTATTTATGGACACTGAAATTTGAATTTTATAGAATTTTACATGTCATGAAATATTGTTTTCTTTTCCAACCATTTAAAAATGCAGCCAGGCTCAGTGGCTCATGCCTATAATCTTAGCGCTTTGGGAGGCTGAGGTGGGAGGATTGCTTGAGACTGGGGCTTTGAGACCAGTCCGGGCAATACAGTAAGACCTCATCTATACAATAAATACAAAAACTAGCCAGGTATTGTGACATGCACCTACAGTCCCAGCTTCTTGGGAGGCTGAGATGGGAGGATCACTTGAGGCTAGGAGGTTGAGGCTGCAGTGACTGGGATCATGCCAATGCACTCCAGCCTGGGTGAGGCACTGTCTCTCTTTTTTTTCCTGAGAAGAGATGGGGTCTCACTATGTTGCCCAGGCTGATTTCAAACTCCCAGGCTCAAGCAATCCTCCTACCTCAGCCTCCTAAAGTGTTAGGATTATAGGTATGAGACATTGCACCTAGCCCTGAGACTCTGTCTCAAAAAGTAAAAAAAAATGTACTTGTGAGTTGTACACAAACAAGCAGCAAACCACATTTGGCCCATAGCCTGTAGTTTGGCAACCTCTATCTTATTTGGTTACTTAGTGTTCATTTTCTCTTCCCTTTCCCTCTTGCTGCCTAATTTATAGCTACTGAAGTGTCTCAGTCTCCATCAACTACCTAATATTTATTGAATATCTACTCTGTGCTCAGGATTTAGCTGCATCTTCACCAGAAAGTGGCAAAAGAAAAAGAACTGATGTGTCAATATTTATTTATCAAAACTCTGAAAGTCTTTCAGCTAAGATTCATGACTAAATTGAGGTTAGGAGGCTTTTTGGAAATTCATATATCTCTGCTATAATCCTGAATAATCAAGAGTTGAATGTAAGTATAGTAGTAGAAAATATAAAATCTCTTGCTACAGAGTCACAGAGGAAAAATCCACTTATCAAAAACAAACACTAGCTACAGTGGTAAAGGGTGTTTTGAATGTTTAAATGTGACCTGATATCAAAATATAAATTTGTAGGCTTACTTGGGAAGCAAAGGAGTGAGTGAAAATAGATTGTTTATGTTATAGAAAACAGCATGAGATTTCTGTAACAGAAAAATTCTGATGTAGTCAATATAATTTGATTTATAAAAAAATGAATTTTCACCTAGCTTTTTGATAACGTAACAATTGTATAAAGCAAGTTATTCAGGTATTAAAAAGGAAGCTAGAGATGGGTCATGAACTAGAAAGACAGGGCTTTAAGGAATGTGGTTACAGTTAATAGGAATTTCAAGTTGTTTATAGGATTGGGAGCTTGGAAGCTGGAACAGAGCAAGAGGGGACTTTTTTTATAAGTGGTTTAAAATGAAAAGTGATTGCTAAAATGAAAACTGTTTACGTAAAGGATGGGTAGAGTAAGTGAAAGTACCAAATAAACAAAATCCTTAGACTCCAAAAAGCTAACTTCTTTTCTGGACATTATTCCTTGCAGCCAAATATGACCTGTTACAAAGAAGAGATTTTTGGTCCAGTTCTTGTGGTTCTGGAGACAGAAACATTGGATGAAGCCATCAAAATTGTAAATGACAACCCATATGGAAATGGAACTGCCATCTTCACCACTAATGGAGCCACTGCTCGGAAATATTCCCACCTGGTGGATGTTGGACAGGTTTGTGAACGGAATGTTTAGGAGATTCTCATAGCCATCTCTGGTTTCCCACGAGGAAGAAACAGTAAATAGTGGTCAGTCACTGCACCTTGCTTATAGTTTGATTCTCTAATCTCCCACAATGCTCCATTTCTTCCTCAGGAATAAGTTCATGGGGTGGAGGATGGGGGTGGAAGTTAGGTATTTAAAATTGGTTTCTGATGCCTTTATACTTCTAAGTGGAGAGTTCCTTTGTTTGAGTCCTTCGCTTCATAGTTGACATGGATTTATTCTGCTTTAGGTGGGAGTGAATGTCCCCATTCCAGTGCCTTTGCCAATGTTCTCATTCACTGGCTCTCGATCTTCCTTCAGGGGAGACACCAATTTCTATGGCAAACAGGTAACTTTTGAGTTAAAAAAAATTTTTTTTTTCTTTAAAAAACTTTCTTGGGCATAATCAGGAGCAAGGATTCTGCAAGGAAGAGCCTGCCAGCAGCATCTATGGAGTCATATGTTCATCAGTACTTCTCAGTAGGTCCCCTAAAAATAATGTAAAAGTTAACAAAATTTTGCCAAAGCAATTTCTTCCTGAATAATTCAAGGCAACAACGTTTTGAGGAAAGAGCGCAGGGAAGTCCAAGCCTTTATATATGCCATTTCCTCTGCCTGTGACTGTCTCCCTCATCTTTCTCCTTTCATCTGACTAACTCCTGATCATCTGTCTAGTCTCATCATCTGTCTAGTGAAAAGAACAGACTGCTCCAAAACATCACCTCTGACCACCCCATGTGCTGCTCCCACTGCACGCATTTCCCGTGATAGTTATTCCTTTACAAAACATCTTTATTGCGCACCTTCTTTGTACCAAACACTATTCTAGCCACCATGAGTATAGTATTGAACAACAACAAAAAGCAGATCTGGAACCAAATTGCCTGGGTTCAAATCCCATCTCAGCTGGTTATTAGCTGTGCGACCTTGGGGAATATCCTCATTATGCCTCAACCTTCATCTGTAAGAAGAGAATAACAATAGTATGTATATATATCATAACTGTTGCCACACCCGTCAGCAGGTGCACATGTCCTAAGGCAGGAGGAGGTATGGCACCTTCAAACAGCCTAATATATATTTCACTCCTTTATTCCATTTTCTTATTCATGGGAAGGAAAGGAAAACTAACAACTGTTGAACAACAGTTACTTTGCTGTTGTTTTTCATTTTCTCCTCACAACATTGCTGTGAGGTGAGTGTTAGGTCACACAGATAAGGTTCAAATTTAAACTGCAGTCAATAAGGAATAGAAGCAGGATTTGGGCCAAGTCTGTGACGTCAAGGCACACTGTATTCAGCTCTAGGAATAGAATGACCTACAAATTTAACAGATTACGTTGTTTAATTTTTCCATGTAGGTGCTCTTGGCTTAGAAACACTAGTTTCAGCATAATAATGATGGCTAAGGTTTGACTGTTTGCTATGTGCCAGGAATTGTGCTAAATGTTTTACAAATATTGGATTTGGATTGCTTTCCTCAAATAGGAACATGAGTAGCACTTCATAGCACCTCCCTCAAAGGTTAATTAAAAGAAGAAACTTGAAATTCCTAGAAAATACATGCTGACTCTTTTTTTTTTCTTTGTTCTTTTTAGGGCATCCAATTCTACACTCAGTTAAAAACCATCACTTCTCAGTGGAAAGAAGAAGATGCTACTCTTTCTTCACCTGCCGTAGTCATGCCTACCATGGGCCGATAGAAACAAGTTCATCCTAAGTAATCTCTATTTTTGACCAGCTTTATTTGCCAACTTTGTTCAGATCAGATGCCTGGAATTGAAATACATTGTAACTAAAATCTTCCTCAGGACTGTAGCCCCTGCAAAGTTGCTATAGGGAGACTCCTAGTGTAACACAGAAAGCAGAATTTTCACTTGTTCTTCACACACTATTTTTGAGGTAACTGTTGTATCTGTGAAGTGCTTATCTGGAATGAGGGCTTAAACCTATTTTCTAAAAATTCTTCCCTTTTTCTGATGACTGAGGAGAAGGTCAATATATGTAAAGAAGATCTTCCAATAAGTGGAAGATGAACTCTTAGATGGGGAAATGGGATGGAGAGAATTCACCACCTCTGGCTGATCCTCAAACATAGCCCTACATAAATGCCAGTGGGGGGGACCCCTGCAATGTTTTCCGGAACCTCTCTTGTATCTCACGCTATACAAGGAATAATCCATTTCTGTTTGTCCCAAATGTTGTGACAACTACTTCTTTCTTTTCTGCTTAAGGCCAATTTGATGTCCAGCTTTTAATTCTGTCATTGTCACTGTTCTGCTTCTTAAGATCACTTCTCAAGGATACCTCAGTATGCGATAAATCAACTTTTTGTTATGTGTGACAAGTGTTACATCGCAGGGTTTGCTTCAGCAATCATTAATTAATGCTTCAGCCATGAATTCAGATGTAAATTATTTTCTTAGAAAATTATTTCAAAAGTTATTTTAAGCCCAGAAATTAAGGAGTGTTCCAACCATGAAAATGGGTAAGACTCTTGCCTTAACAAGTCTAACCTAATATTGCTTGCTGAATTTTATATATACTTTCTTCTTGCCTGAATTACTCATTAGTGATACTTTTTAATGAAAGAACTTCTCCTATAGAGCAATTGTTTGGGGTCTAAGAAATTTCAAAGCTTTTTGTGACATAAAGTAGAGAAAAGGAGCATTTTAAGAGTCCCTTCTATCATTAGTTCACCTGCCTTTATGCTTTTTGTTTCTTTGACACATTGAAACTTTTAAGTCAGAACAGAAATTGACATGCTGAACAGAATGGATTCTGGGCTGGGCACAGTGGCTCATGCTTGGAATCCCAGCACTTTGGGAGGCCAAGGTGGGAGAACTGCTTGAGCCCAGAAGTTCAAGACTAGCCTGGGCAACATAGTGAGACATAATCTCCACAAAAAATAAAAAAATTAGCTGGTGTGGTAGTGCACCCCTGTAGTCCTAGCTACTCAGAAGGTTGTGGCAGATGGATCACCTGTGCCCAGGAAGTTGAGGCTGTCATGAGCCATGATTGTGCCACTGTACACCAGCTTGGGCAAAATAGTAAGACCCCAGCTCAAAAGAAAAGTATTCTTTCTTTTTTACGGTATCATCACAATAGAATCTTGTCTTTATTTTCCTTATTATATTTCTTATTAGTCAATTTTGATAGTGCTAACCTACTCTATGGGAGTTATTTAGTGAATTAAAGATGGTTATTAAAAAAAAACTGAAAGGGGGTGTTCTCTGTACTCTGTGGACTTTAGGCTTATTATTACCTCCTGGCTGGACAGAATGTCAAAATCTTTAATCATTTAAAGTGACTGGAACTTTAATAAAATATACTTATGACCCTACTGGGTCTTTTCCTTTCCTTTCCTTTTCTTTTTTAGATGTGCCTAAAGGTGAGGCAATAGAAACTTATAATTTGAGGATACAGTGACCCTTATTTTTATCTCTAATCACAGCTGGCAACTGGTAGTGATATTTAATTCAATCCAGTGACTATGGGCTGGGTTGAATAAAAGGTCATTATTATCTAAATTTCATGTGGAACCACAGAAACTCCCTTATATTTAAGGAAAATGTAAGGGAAATCACTTTTTAAAAAATCACTGACTAATCAGATTGTGTTGCTGTAATTGTAAACAACTCATTTGGTCAGCTACTTGCTGTTCAGAGAGTTCCTTGTTTCTTAGATGAAAAAAATCTGATCATATATAACTGACATATATATAAATATAAATAAATATATTTTTTGGTGTGATGTAGCCTCATTTGAAATTTCTGATTATGAATTAAAAAATTACAGATAACTCTTAAAGAGAAAATCATGGCTTGTTAAAAAGTGGTGCCATACTTCCTTATGATGCCTTTGTTCTCTAATTTTTTTTTTTGAGGTGGAGTCTCACTCTGTCGCCCAGACTGGAGTGCAGGGGCTGCTCCTGGCCACTGCAGCCTCGACCTGCTGGGCTCCAGCAATCCTTCTGCTTTAGCCTTCCAGTAGCTGGAACTACAGGCACGCGCTACCACACCTGGCTAATTTTTTATTTATTGTGGAGATGAGGTCTCACCAAGTTGCCCAGGCAGGTCT